TACTCTATATATATAAATATATATAAACGTTTTATAAATATAAATTTTTAGGTAGAGAACTTAAACACCAGTTAGAAAATTGGTTATCTGCTGCTGGTGATGTCAGTCATGGTCCTGCTCGAGCCATCATTGCACCGTATGTATTATGTCAGCTTGTAAATTAATGATAAGAATTCCTGTTTAAATAAGCTTAATAAAAATTTGATGGACAAAATCCACTTTTTTAATGGAAAAATTCCAGGAAAAAAAAGACAAAATACAATACATAAATATTTAGATACATCAATATATTAGTCAAATGATTGGTGGATTAAATCGTGCTACATTATCACTACTGATTATTATAATAAAGCCAAACAATTTAATCTGGTAATCATTTGGCTTTAAGATGTTTATATATACATACATCAACATAGTTTGCTATTTTTTATTGAAATTACTAATCAAATAAGAAATTTCAAATTCATGTAATAAATTAGCTAAATATAATTATAATTTTAATAAGATGGGGTTCAAATAATTTCAACTATTATTTTAAGTATATCTTGAAATTTTACTATTTAAATTTTCTCTCATATGCTATGGATACTGAGCTTTTCAATAGATGGTAAAACTATCAAAAGAGCTTTTGGAAAAGTTGTGTATCTTACAGAAATTTTCTTAATGATAAAAATGACTGTAAATTGATTTTTAGAATTTTTAAGATGAAGTGAAACTGTTAGATATTACAAAATAATCACATTTTTAATTTCCAATCTTAGCATTTGTATTTCTTTTATTAATGTTTGTTAGAGTTGCATTATTTTTTATAATAAATTTTGTTTTGTAATGATTAAAAATATCTGACGATTATTAAATTTCTTCTCAATAAGTATAAAAGTTACTTTTGAGGATTCACACACTTTAAAATGTTGTGTTAACTTCTTTTACTTTCTTGACTGTTATTTATTCATATCGGAAAAATATTGGAATTATGTCAAATTTGACCCTCAGAGTTTTTTGCAAATATTTGTTTTGAGACTTTCTGAAGCCAAAAAAGTCAAAAAACAAAAGAAAAAAATTTTGTGTGTTGTGTTGGCATTACTTCATTCAATATTTCATGTTGGAGTAAAGATTAAAAAATGAAATTTGGCATGATAAGTTGTGTATAAGAGGCATTGATGCTATTAAATTTTCATGGTTAAAGATCAAGGGGATGGGATGATAGAGGGATGTCAGGTGTCATATCTTGAGAGGAATTGGACTTCATAAAGATATTATTTGCTATTAAAATTTACAATTTTTATAAAACTCATCATTACCCTGAAAGTTAAGCTTTTTCCCATTTTATAATAATTAAAATTATAAAATGTTTTTATAACAATGTCATAATAGATGGCACCAAACAATTTTATTATATTGTAATTAAAAATACAAAAGTTACTTTTTTAAATAAAATTTCATAATAGCCAGGAAAGTTATTGATACAACTTGTTCTAGATTTTTATTTTGAAAGTAAATTATTAGTTTAAAATTTGAGTTTATTTTTATGAAGTTAGTTTGAATTATTTAATGTATATGTTGCAGTCAAAACCCATTGTTAGTTAGAACACGTTTTAATTAATTGAAACTAGTTTATACTGGATGTCTTTGATAAAACTCGTTTTGTCTAGTTAAAACTAGTTTTAACTCAAATTCATTTTTGACTAACAGTAAATTCTACTTTTAACTAGACCAAACGGGTTTTATCAAAGACATCCAGTATAAACTAGTTTTAACTAGTTAAAACGCATCCTAACTAAAAACTGGTTTTGACTGCAACATATAGTGATTCGAGGGAAGATGCCTAATTTTTTATATTTTCAAACAGTGACGTCACATATTGTCATGTATTTGTATGATGAATCGTTGGGCCAATATTGAGTGTGGAAACCGTTACTTCATTTTCTACATCTGAGAAGAATAAAAACTAGATAAGAACGAAGTTTTTGTTGTGAAATGTTTCTAGAGTAATTTCAAACTAAAAGTTAAAATAGAATTTATTAAAAATTGCGAAAAACAATTAATGTATGTATGATGTAGTTAAGGTTCTAAAGTTTCCATTGTCAGCTACAGCTGATCCTGATCGGGCATGCTGGAGCACGTGACTCTACTAGGCATCTTACTCCAACAAAATCCCAAAAGATGCCACATTTTTCTTGGGGTAACATGCCTATTTTTTGTTAATTGAATTCCAATATGCCTATTTTTAATAAACTTTTGTTTTCTCGTTTTATTGCAGGATATGCATAGAAATTATATAAGGACTTCTCAAAAAAGTTTTTGGACTGAAAAAAGCTTTCAGCTAGCTATAGAACACGTTAGAACGGGCGGAAACTTAACAATACTTATACTGTGCTGTTATACTTACTATGAAGTACTTTGTACTACATATGCAATAAATTAAATTTGGTTAAGAAATTCAAAAATTAATTTTATGCAATTATATTTGTTATCTTACCCTAATGGCATTTGGCATCTCACCCGGATACTTGGGGTGAGATGCCTAAAATGCCAGACAGTGAAAAAGTCGTCATTGTAAACACAATATACAATTTTTTTTTTTTAATAAACTCCAAAGTTTTATTTGAAAAACATACTTCAGAATATGATATTTTCATTAGAGGCTCCAAAACCCAAATTAGCGCTATAATTTCCTTCATAAGCAAAATGTTAGGCATCTTCCGCCAAATCACTAAACACAACTTTATTTATTTCCCCCAAACATATTTATGTAGCTAAAATTAGTTTTAACTAATGTTAAAAGTTAAAACTAGTTTTATCTAAAATCAAAACATGTACAGCAGTAAATTAACTAGACAAACCAGTTTTGTCTAGTTAAAACTAGAATTTACTGCTAGTCAAAAATGAATTTGAGTTAAAACTAGTTTTAACTAGACAAAACTGTTTTAACAAAGACATCCAGTATAAACTAGTTTCAACTTGTTAAAACGCATTTTAACTAAAAATGGGTTTTGACTGCAACATATACATGGTACAACTAAAGAGTTTGGTGAATGTTAAAATAAAAACAATAAATCAGAAGACTCATAGTAATTACATTTATTGAGCTCTGAGTACTTTGATACTCTCCATGATAGAGAACATACTTTTGACAACATTTGGTAAGCTTCTAGAAACAGTTGAAAAAGTCTTGTTTTGGAACTGGTTTAAGAACTGCTGTCACACAAGCCTGAATCACAGAAATGCCAGCAAAATGTGATTAATTAATCTCAAATGTAATCCATAAATGATCTCAGAGATTATTAATGAATCACATTTTGCATCAATATTTCAGAATTTCCATGTTATGCTGTTGTTCCATTGCTTTTTGACATTTTTGACATTCTTACAGACTGTGCTCAAATAACTGTGGGGGAAGCCTGCTTTTAGCCATGGCTTGGAGACATTTCTAGACATAAACCTGGATGTCCATACATATGCTCAAACTTATTGCATGCATTGCATTCAAGATGTCCTAACATTCACCAAACTTTTTAGACCCACCACATATATTCAGTTGATATAATAAAGCATGCAGTTCAATCAATGTGCATTTGTTTTTGTAATTAATTATGTAATAATTACAGTAATCAGTTTTTAATTATTATGAAAATGTTCTTATAAATTGAGTATATTTTTATTAATTTCTTAATCCGTAAGATATTAATTCATTTAAATGTGTATTTTCTGATTTTTGTGTGTAGCGTCCTTGTAATCCAAAAAATGATTTTTGGTAGACGACCAAGCAGCAATTGGTTAGGAAAACATTACAGTTTATTTAAAACAATTTTTTTTTTCAAATACATTTTGGGTTGGTTTATGCTCCCAACCCTTCTTCAGTGCTGTTAAAAATACAAAACAAAGTAAGGTTCACAACATTGGTAAATATGACATTAAAAAAAAGGGGAAAAACAATAACATAAAAAACTTACTTGTCTTATAATGGTACATCTTAAAATTGTGTTACTATATTTTTATCACATAGGCGTATGACCATTCTCTATAATATGAAAAATGTATAAAACATTGCTGTTTAACACATCATTTATATAAAAAAATAAATACAGATTATTCATTTCAGAGTATCTATGAACACTTACATTTCCAGTTAATAGTGTAAATGTAAGTGTTCATAGATACTCTGAAATGTATTATTCCCAACAAAAGGTAAAACAGGGTAAAAACTGACAACTGGTGTTATCCAGTGTTCATAGAATAACAGTATACCGACAACTAATGTTATCTAATTCATTCCTAACATTCTGTACAATGAGGTGTGCTTTTAAACAATGTTTAACGCGTGGAAGCGCTCTCTATTAGTTTATACCATTGGGGATCTATTGACATGCCTTCTGAAATATTAATTATGTTATCTTTAGGGTGTTTTTTGTTTTCTGTGTGTTCTTTAAATTTCCTTTTTATATAGGTCTTTTTCTAAATGTAACACTTTTATATTATTTTTATTAATTTGACAATTATTGTCACTTGTGTGGTTGTACCAGGGGGAAGTGTTATGTTTTAGGCAGATGGCAGCATACCACAAAATTTGAACATACAGCAACCATACCTTCTACATTAATTAAGTGAATTTTCTGATTTAAAAAAAAAATACAAAACATTTTTGTTTATACAACTGTATTACTGAAAACTAAATATTGTAAATTTTAAAATTATGTTAAATTACAAATTCAGAATGCCAATATCAGAATATAGAAGAACTTTGATTATCCAAAATAATGTGGACCAATGCTACCTCAGATAACCAAAAACTCAGATAAAATGGATGGCCACAACCATTTTACATTAAAAAATTAAATATAAAAAGATTTATTTGGTAGCACTTTTAAACCTCTCTTTATATCTTAGTGAATTTAATCATATATAAGAACAACAATTTTTACATTATTTATTGTACAGCTGATATGTACAGTACAGTAACAACAAAAATGTGTTATTCTAATTACTTTTTAATATGAATGATTTTTGTCTTGCATGGCAAGAATAAAACAGAACAGAAACAAGTCATTATCATTTTAAACTTTCTTTTATAAATTACAGTATAAGAAAACTAGTGTATTTACTTACAGGTTTGCCTTTGATAATGAGAAACCTTAGCTTTTTAGGGCTTGGATAATTTTGGTACTGCCATAGTTATATTTTATCAAGTAACTAAATGAAAAGTAATAATGTTTAATATGACTAATGGAAGCACTGTCATCAAAAAGCCATGTTTTATTTTTAAAAAATTTCAAAAATTAACTGAAGAGGGCTTGGATGTAGTATCTGGCCAAAATGCATATTGTGAACAATTTTAAACATGAAATTTTTGTCTGAATTGTTACTACTGACTAAAGCATCACTTCCAGAATGACTACCCAGGTCCATTTTCAGGAAGTACATTTTTTTTCTTCACTTAATAATATAAGATCATTTATCCTGACATTTGTGTTTACATGGTGTTATACTGTTGTAAAGTAGATAAATATTCTCTGTGCTTTCTTTTCCAGAAATTTGTTATATCAGTTGCCATCTAGACAAATGGTTTCCTTGAAAATTCATTAAATGAGAACACTTCTTGGATAGAACTGGACAGAACAAATGAAAAACCACTTAAGAACCTTAGTGTTAGTATTGTTAGTTCAACAAAGAACATACAGTATATTTCTAATGTTTTTTTTAATCCACATCACAGACCTTCATCAGAAAATAGCAATTTCCAGGATGGAATGTTCTAAATTAAATTTGGTTGAGAAGTTGTGATTAAACTTGACCCTATTGAGAAATGTCCTGGTGTTAATGCTTACAGGTTATGAGACTCTTCTGACCAGACTTAATAGTCAGGAATTTAAACATTCTTATATCTGTGATAAAACTGTATATAATTCTTCATATGTAATATAAACTGTATATTTATTGTGACAATGTCACAATAAATATATGCTTGTTAAAAATTTGGTTTTTTGTTGGAATTGGGAACATATTGAGTCAATTTATCCTGAAACTTTGGAAAAGATTATGGAAAATGTGAACAAAACATATGATTTTTTGCCATCCAAGATGACAGTCAAGCCTGCTTAGTAGTAGTGGTCTTGAATACCATTGCAAACCAAATTTAACTCCTCAATTTCTATAAATTGTAGTTCCTGATGTTCTGTAAATTTTATGTATTTTATTTTACTTGTTTGTTTATTTAATCAGTATGCATTTGTATCAAGATATGGGGATACAAAATATAAAACAATTACATAATACATATATTTGGGTCATAACTATATTAATTTACTATATAAACAAAAATTTACAAAAACCTACCAGACAGGAGTGCTGTCTTTAAAAGAAAAATTACTAAATAGAAAGCAAAAACTTCTTTATAAATTCAAAAATTAGTTAAATTTAATTTAATTTCAGATAGAACTTCCTGATTCCTCTAATTTACTCATTAATTTATAATTACAGGTAGTTCTGTCTGAAATTATATTAAACTTTGACTAATTTTTGATTCACTTTTCATATGCTAAATTTGCAGTTCTAAATGTTTTCAGCTGACAAACAAAAATTTTGAGCTGCTGTGCAGAGGTGCTTTATTCCAATTTTGGTATTTAACAGCAGAATCATTTATAAAAAGTAATTTTTATTGCCTGTTTTATGTTTAATCTGTGATTTTAATATTTTAAATAAATTTTTATGCATTGTAACATTTACTATAAAAGATTTTTTTTTATCTCAATAAAAGATTTCAATTTTTTTTAGCTCTTTGGGCATGGAATTCCATTTATTACATGCAACTGTATTATTTAACTTTTGTACACAATTTTTAGCAATATATTACATCCAAAAGTTGATGACTGCATGTATTAAATTTAGCATGAAATGTACTTGACATAATTTAGCACTAGAAGTGTTAATTAATTTTTGGATAAAAATAGTTTTTTTTTTAGTTTTGGTGATTCTTTCACTAATTTTGACTTCTGTTTTCACCAGTCTTTTACAAAACAAAATCATGTATCAATTATAAAAACCACAGGGTATTGTAAAATACACAGTAGTTTTTAATGGATACCTGAGTTAAGTGAGCAAAGTCTCTGGTCCCAAGATTGCTAAATCCAGGTTTTGTTGTAAAATGATACAAATTCCACGAAATTAGTTATGTATGTGGCAACTCTATTTCCATATTCTTTTTCATATGCAATAACTTTTTATTTTAATACTGTATCATCATGTTTTCTTGAAGTTTTAAATATTAAAAAGGAGTTTTAATTAATTATCAGTTTTTTTGACCTTTGAGCAGTATAACTGAAAATGTCTATTATTGATGCCACATGGTACCACGATGCTAACATGCCACATAGTATATTCATGATGACTGATTGTTGTTTTGGATCGCAAATTGTATAATGTTATGTATTGTAAGATACACCTCTGTTTCACACAAGTAAAAAATAGGTTAAAAGAAGTGCATCTTAGAATTGAGGAAATACTTTGTATATACAAGTCGACCCTCCTATAAGATCATAGATACGTTCCATTCTTTAGGAATCTGATTTCTTACTAGTCGTTCCAATCACAGCCCGACACGTGTCAAGTTTACGGACTACAGCTGTTTGAAAGGTTTTCTTCCATAAAATTAATCGATTCTAGACTAATCCGACTCAACATTTCCAAAATACATATAATATTTTTGGAATAATCCGTATAAACTACGCTATAAACAAAAAATTGTAGGATTACTTACCGAGTGTGCACCATTTGACATCGCCATTGCTAAAGGTTGTTTTCGTCACGGAACAGCTCAGCAAACAGCGGCCGATTTCTAATAACTTATTTTTCTGCGAAAACTTCGTTGAACTTTGGAGACATCATTAATATAAATAATTTTNGGAAGTCAGGATATAAAAATTCATCAAAATTATTAAGGTTTCACGATATATGGTATCGTGAAACCTTAATAATGATTAATATGGATAAAAAAAATATTGTTGGGATAGATTTAAACAAAAAAAGGGAGTAAAAAGTGAAAGTAAATGAGCAAAGTTTTCTCAATTAAATTTGGAGTGAAAGTCAATCTTGATAGATAAAAACCATTAAAATATTTGTAATATATTAATCAGTCGAAATATTTAATACTCTCAAAGAAGGAAAGCCCAGCGAATTCTAGTGATATTAGAGTCAATAGTGAAAGGCAAGTTACACATTTTATTAAACAGAAGATTACTTCTGATTACTTCTGCTATTAATAAGATATCTTGTGTAAAAGGGAAGGTGCAGTCATGATCAGATGTGCAATCCATAATCAATGCAAGATTGAAAATTAGCAAAAAAATGGTTTGCAATGCTCTTTTATTAAAGATGGGATTACAAAATCTCCATAAAATTCTATGTCTGATAGGCAGAGATTTAACTAGTTTATCAATGTGATTTTTGAAAGTAAGTTTAGTGTAAAAACAATGCTCAACCCAATATAACCTTTATTTATTAACCATGGCATTGGAAGGCATCACTGTAATGATTATAATCTTTAAATTTCAAAACATATCTTTATAAAGACTACAATAAATTTAAGTACTGTTTTACACATATCAGATAAGCAGGATTTGCATATAAGCAAATTGATCCAACAATTGTGTATGTATTGTGATGTTTTTTTATTTAATATTTAGAAATTCAATATTTGGAAATAAAATACTTTTAATAAGTTTTTTAATTAATTTCAGAAAACGTGTTTTCATATTGGGACCATCTCATCATGTACGTCTTGGTGGATGTGCATTGTCTCCAGCAAAAATCTATCGAACTCCTTTCTATGATCTGACTATAGATCAAGAAAGTAAGTACAAAATTAAGTTAATGATTTATTTTTTAATATTAACATAACTGATTCATTATTGTTCATTCATTAAGTTCTGTCAAGATTTTTTTTGTCTGTACAATATAAATAAATTATTTATTTAAAATTTTCCAATTCATTTTTCATTTCATTGCAGTATAAAATGAAAACTTAGAATGAAAAGTAAGTTCTTTACTCTTCAATGAAAATTCTTCTCTTCATTAATTCTTTTTATCTTTTGATGATAAATGGATAATTTTTATGCAATTTCTTTTCTGCAAATTTTAAAAAAGCATATAAAAAATTTATCATTTAAAAGATAAGTAACAGCAAATAATAAACATTAAGAATTTTCATTAGACAGTAAAATACTTTCTTCAGCTTTCATTCTATATTTTAAATAATTACTATAGTAAAATATTTATTGGGCTATAATTTGAAAAAACTAGACCTATAAATTCCCACATTGTCTGTCCTTCCTTAATCTTGAATGGAGTGAGATAGATGAAAGTCTAGACTATGTATGGAAATCTTAGGGTCAGGAGGCTCTAACTAACTATATACAAACTTCCAGTTTGCACTGGAAGTGATATTATTTCACTTAAAATGTTTTCCCTGAAAGGAGTTAGTTAGATGACCGGCAGAACTGCTAAGAGGAAAAGTATGATGTACAGGGGCAAGACAGTACTAATTTGAGGTGAAGAACATATATTTTAAATTAATTAAAAATGTGATAAAAATTGCAGCCAGACTTTGTGATGATGTCAAATAAGTAATTGCTCATTCATATTATGAATTATTCTATTCATAATAAGATAGATTTTAAAATTTTTGAGTATTTTGGATGAGTTTAAATAAATCTTTCTAAAGGGAACAATAATAATTTGTGATGTTTGAAATGCATTAAAAAATATAATGAAACTTCTGAAATGTCATACCAAATTTGAACAATTTGATATTTATGTTAAATTAAATAATATAAATTTTTTAATGTTTTCTATATAATTCTATTTTACATTAAAAAAATTTTTCTTTTAATATCATAGAAATTTCTGATTGAAAAATTATAAGCAAAACTAACTTGTAAAATTGTTTTTATATTTATAAGTCATTTAAATATTGATAGCAGTCATTTTTAGAAACATACCTTCTTTCATAAAAATTTGAAATTTTGTTGTGTAAACTGTTTTTTTGTTTTCTATTTTATATCAGAAAAATTCTAGTTTTTTTGTTTTCTATTTTATATCAGAAAAATAACATAATTAGTGCTAATTTATAATTTTATTTTTTAAAAATTATGAATTAGTACTAATTGTTTAACTTCAAATAATTATGACAATTCTGCTTTCTATTTTAATTATAAATTTATTTTGTAATTGATTATAAAAAAACTCAATTTTATTTTTTGTATTACAAAAATTTATATATCCAATTGTGTTGCAATTTAAAAATATTAAATATTAACAATAATGAGGAGTTATTTATTGTGACATTGTCATAATGCCAGGCTGCAATTTGAAAAAATTGTAGACCTATAAATATCCACTGTTGCTGTTCATTTGTGTCTGTCCTTCCTTAATCTCAAGAACAGAGTTAGATACCAAATGTAGAAAGAACAGAGTTAGACCAAATGTAGAAAGTTTTGGGGTGGAAGGTTCTTATTAATTATATATGAACTTCTGATGCAAGCCAGAAGTCATGTTATTTCAATTAAAAAATTTTCCTTGAAAGGAGTTAGATTATGACTGGCAGGCCTCTGTTGCTAACAGGAAAAGCATGATGTACAGGTTCAAATCAATTTTAAATTTACTCCATCAATCTCAGATAAATTATGAAAATTTCACATGAATATCTTCTGGACTATCCATGTATTTATAAATTTTATAAATTATCTTTTTTGTAAAGTTTGTCTTTGGGTGTGGGTATGATCATGTGCATTAAAACAAATGTAAATCAACACCACTTAATGTTTACTTTTAACATAGTAATGTTTAATTTCAACTAAACATTCTAAAACAAAGAACACTACCTTACATCAGCAACAATGATGTGTTAAATTTCACAACTGTCATAATTAAATCACACATTTATTTCAAATAACCACAATTATTGAAAATACATTAAAACTTTGTTTGTTTGTTTGTTTATTTTATTAAATTTACAGGAAAAATCTGGTTAGACATTTGATTTCTGTCCCCTATAAAAACACAATCTAAAAACAAAACAAATCTTAAGAGAGATACAGTACTTTTTTTACATTTCATTTTAAAATTGGGGAAGTCATGATATAAAAATTCATCAAAATTATTAAGGTTTCACGATATATGGTATCGTGAAACCTTAATAATGATTAATATGGATAAAAAAAATATTGTTGGGATAGATTTAAACAAAAAAAGGGAGTAAAAAGTGAAAGTAAATGAGCAAAGTTTTCTCAATTAAATTTGGAGTGAAAGTCAATCTTGATAGATAAAAACCATTAAAATATTTGTAATATATTAATCAGTCGAAATATTTAATACTCTCAAAGAAGGAAAGCCCAGCGAATTCTAGTGATATTAGAGTCAATAGTGAAAGGCAAGTTACACATTTTATTAAACAGAAGATTACTTCTGATTACTTCTGCTATTAATAAGATATCTTGTGTAAAAGGGAAGGTGCAGTCATGATCAGATGTGCAATCCATAATCAATGCAAGATTGAAAATTAGCAAAAAAATGGTTTGCAATGCTCTTTTATTAAAGATGGGATTACAAAATCTCCATAAAATTCTATGTCTGATAGGCAGAGATTTAACTAGTTTATCAATGTGATTTTTGAAAGTAAGTTTAGTGTAAAAACAATGCTCAACCCAATATAACCTTTATTTATTAACCATGGCATTGGAAGGCATCACTGTAATGATTATAATCTTTAAATTTCAAAACATATCTTTATAAAGACTACAATAAATTTAAGTACTGTTTTACACATATCAGATAATTTAAAGGAGATGAAAATTTGCAGCCCGGCATTATGATGATGTCATAATAAATAGTTGCTCATTAATCATATTTTTAATTTATTTAATTTAAAATGTGCTCTCCACCTCAAATTAATAGTGGCTTGCCCCTATACATCATACTTTTCATTTAACAATAGGGTTATGCTGGTCATCTATCTAACACCTTTTAGAGAAAAATTTTTTAATTGAAATAACATGTTTTCTAGTTTGCATCAAAAGTTCTTATATAGTTAATTGGGATCCTCCTGCCCCCAAGGTTTCCATATCTGGTCTCGTCTTTCATCTATCTAACTCCGTTCTTGAGATTAAGGAAGGATGGACAGACGACAGTGGGAATTTATAGGTCTACAATTTTTTTCAAATTGGGGCCAATAATGTAGATTGTCCATATACCTTCAATATTATTATATAATTAAAGCATTTTATTTGTTTAAAAAATTTAAGTAAAGTTAAAGACAATTTGTACAAATTCTCCTTTATTTGCTTTTGGTCCAAATAATACAAGAACAGAAATATCAACATTTTTGTTTTTCTATGCTTGGCTATCAAAAAAAAAGGTAAGAGCACATTTTATAATGGTCAAGTAATACAGTACTTTGCATATCAAAAATGTTTTCTAGATAAAAGTTCATCAAAAAGTGAAAATAAAATATATACTTGTGTGCCTGCAGATTTTTATGGGGCTCTTAACCCCTTCTTGTCCACTTTTTTAAAAAAAGTTTTAATTAAACATAAAAAAACTTAAAACTGAAAAAAACGAAAGAAATTCGTTAATTTTGGTTAAAAAGCTTCATCATTTCGTTAAAAAGCTTCATTTATTTTCTTTTGTCTCGCCTTTCTGTGAAATTTAATACCAATGAGTCATTGTTTACACATCTGGATGACCTTGAACACAGCTGGAGTTGGATTTTCCAGGACATTCTCATAGATGTCTCAGGAGGACAAGGGTTTAAAGTAGGGTGACTACCAACTAGGCCTATATTTTTAAATATTTTTAAAAAATTATAATTTTTATTGCGATTTCCGACCCCCCCTAATTAATTAAACATACATATAATAAAATCTATTAATTAAAAAAATTAAAAAACTATCGGAGGTCGTTTTTGACATCAGAAACTAACTTTTTAAATAACTTTACCAAAGGAAAATTGGTGCACTACAACTTTAGAAGGATGAAATAAATTTGATAAAAAACTCCCATTAAAAAACAATTAAAAAGCAATAAAGCGTGAAGCACGCGTCATTAAAGGTTGATTAAAATTGCTATAAAATTTTTTCGCACGGGGAAAAAAATTTTGAAAAAATTTGGGGACCTAAAAAACATTCCAAAAATCAAAAAAAAATTTTTTGGGGGGCCCAAACTCCCGTTTTTTTGTAACGCTATGGACCTTGCTCGAGTCAAACTCGAGCGTGGGTAGGAAGGGGTAAATAAAATCAAAAATTAATGTCAATTGTTAAAATGTAAACATCTTCATTAGAAAAAAATGGAGAGATAGAAATTAGATCAAAGGTCACTAGTTGTAGTAACAAGTCAGTGGGAAAGTTGACACATAGGTGTCAAGAATGCACCATCATCGTCAACAAAAGTTGACCACATGTTAGATTTCCCACGACAATGATATAAAAGGTGCAAGCCACTGGAAGCTCGAGAGTTCGCACATAGAAGTTATAATTGGTCTTAGTGATTTCCCGTCTCCTGCACCTCCAAGAAAGGACTCAATCTAGTCCCAGTAGAAGACAACTGTAGAAGACACCGACAATGCCCAATGCTTCCATAAAGAACTGTCATCACTGCATATAGGACTCCTCCAACTTTTGAGGTAATTATCAGTGGACTACGAATTCTCTCTTGAAACGGAAGTAGGCATAGCTGTCATAGGATAGACTAAGTGGTTGTCAATCATATTTACTTTGTAATCTTATGTTAATCGCATCTAGCTTATATAACCTAGAGATATGCATTTAACTCTGTGTAGCGTTTTGTATTTTAGTGTTAGCCATATAATAAATGCTTTGTTATTTTGTTAAACCTGTCTCCTGTCTCTGAAAGACCGCCTGCCAGCTTACTGACGCACTCGCCACTCACTTTGCCCTCCTAGCCATCTGACAACTCTGAAACCAGGTTTTACCAGCCTGTGCAGTGTAAGTGGTCAGGAGGGATTAACCCCTGACCCTCTGCTTGTCTCACATACTGCTGGTAAAATGCTAGATCTATGATGACATTTTTAGGGTTTCTTATTTCCCAGTCTTTTGCTTGTTCCCCGGGAAATTTCAGGAAAAAGTGAGCTGTTTCCTGGGATCCCAGGATAGAATTAATTATTTTTAAAATACAGTAGACTCTCCCCATAAAACGGGTTCATATAATTCAGATCCGTATATAATGGCAAAAAAATTGTGACCGTATTTGTATAAACACGCTAAAAGAGACTCCTATATAATGGTAAAACATCATCATCAACTCGTGTCTTGAGAGGATTGGTCGAATCTAGACCAATAGCAGATATTGCACAAACCGCTGAGTTTAAACGAGCAGTGGACCTACTAAAAACCATTTATTATTAACGTCCATAAAAATTATATTTATATTAATGATGTCTCCAAAGTTCAGCAAATTTTTCACAGAAAAATAATTTATCAGGAAACACGCGCGCCCCCGTTCAATGCGCCCCTCCATGACAAAAACAAGCTTAAGCAATGGCGTCAACGAACGGTGCACACTTGATAAGTAATTCTACAATTTTTTGTTTATAGCATAGTTTATATGGATTATTCTCAAAAAATTATACGTGTTTTGGAAATGTTGAGTCAAATTAGTCTAGACTCGATTAATTTTATGGAAGAAAACCTTTCAAACAGTTGTAGTCCGTAAACTGCATATGTACCGGGCTGTAATTGGCTCATGTATTTAAAGACTCGTAGAACATCAATTTCATAAAGAACGGAACATATCTACCGTGTTATAGGGGGGTCGACTGTATATACAAAATATCTTGAAATCAAATGATACAATTATTTTTCATTTTTTAAAGTAATTTATTACATTCTGCAATCTCCAAAATCATATTAATAATGCTGTGTAAGATATATATTAAAAATTACATTTGAATTACGTAGAAATTTTCACAAATAGAAAAAAAATTTATTAAACTTTGCTGGAAACTGCATACAACAATAACAACAATAACAACAACAACAACAACAACAACAAAAAAAATGCTTTGAATAGAGTTGAAAATTTAAAAAAAATGAACCTAGATCAAACTTCTAACTTAAAAGGTAATTTTTGTTTTTTAAATAAAACATAATACAAAATAATAATGTAAATTTTTATAATAAGATTTTAAAAAGCAAAGATGGTCAATACTCCGATCACTCAAGCTGGTTCTTATTTTAGTCTTGCTACTGAGAATGCCCTTTCCAATTCAATTGATGTGAGTGGAATCATGTTTAATGCATTTAAGACAGATGTTACGTTTTTTCACCCATAGCCTGGAATATTTCTAGTTTGTTTTCGAGATTGTAGTACTACTTTTGCTTTCTAGTATTCTTGATTTGTCTATCTCGGCTGCTTTAATAGAAACATCAAGCTTGTAGCATAATAATTCGGCAGTTCGTTTGTCTTTATAATCAGGTTTATGAAGAAAAACTTCATACTTGCAGACTTCATATTCATTTGTATCCTTGCCCAATTTGCACAACCTAGAGTTATGCAGTTATTGAAGCTACTGGGCATGGTTAAAAATTAAGACAGCATAAGTGCAATTATTCCAGATATTATAGGTTCTGACAAGTAAAGAATTTTCAGAGTCCTGCCACAAATAAGCTACATATTGATTATTGACCAATTGTGACATGCCATAATGAGCAAAAATTTAAAAAACTGATAAGTAGGTTTAAAATTAATAAATACAAATGTATTCTGACAGTTTGAGTTAATGATTGATTTTTTTTAAAGAATTTTTGACAATCAAATAGTGTAAAATGGAAGTTTTCGTGCCATCATTATAGTGTTCTTGGGATGAAAAGCAAATAAAGAAGGCTGCATTTCATAGTTTAGATTTTTTTTAAATTTTATTGTAATTAACAAAAATCATCATTTTAAAGTTTTTTTTCTTTAATTAATTAATTAAAATATTTAATATTTTTCAGAAGGCAAAAATTTTTATAGAAAACTAAATATTTTTAGTGATAGTATTGTATTTATTAAAAAGTTTTTATTTTATGCTAAAAGTATATGAAGAATTATACTCCTCTGGCTTGTTTGAAGAGATGACAATTCATACAGATGAAGATGAGCACAGTATAGAGATGCATCTTCCATATATTGCTAAAATTATGGAAAAGTAGCTAATTTTTTATTTTTAAAAGTAATTCTAATAATAATTTTTAAAGTTGTTACACACCAATTTTTTTATTTTTTCCAGCCACCAATTTACAATCATTCCAGTAATGGTAGGTTCATTGACAACTGATAAAGAAGCTATTTATGGCAAAATCTTCAGTAAATATCTAGCTGAACCCTGCAATTTATTTGTAATATCTTCAGATTTCTGTCATTGGGGTGATTATCTAATTAAATTTTTTTAAATACAGTACTTAGTATATACATTCTATACTATTTGCTTTAATACTAATTTTATAAGTCAATTTGAAAGCCATGATGAAAGTAATTACATAGTCTAGTGTCTCTCAAGTATGGTATATATATATTTGGATCTACAGGAATAAAGACAAGGACCATAAAGTTCACTTATACAAATTTTATTGGAAATAATCAAAATAGTGAAAAATCAGATGTAATTTTGGGTATAGATATAGTTTTTAAATGGAAAACAGATCTTAGGTTGTCAATTCCTGAAAGAAGTGATAATCAGGAAATTGAATAAAACTGAGTCCAACAGTGCCAGAAACCACTGGTCAGAAATTAATATAAATTGACTTGAAATATGTAAAGTAGTACTAACTACTGCCCTGCATCCCTACTTTACCAGAATATTTAAAGAAAGCAAATTCAAAATATAACAAATCACACAAAAATGCCAAGAGAAACTTGTAAACAAGGAAATTTGCAAACTGATCATTAAGGAACATTAGGAGCATTTGGACCACAAAATTGCATCAGTAGTCCACTTTTTGAGGAGTATTGCACATTCACGTGTTGCAATAAATTGTGTGGTGCCTGACAAGATGAAAGACCATCTATGTCTGCTGGGGCCTTGATGGGCATCTGCTAAAATGCTATATTGTCATACCAGCATCTCTGTCACAGAAAAGTCAACAAGGAAAATGTTTCATGTAAACATTTCTGAACATACAGTATCACTGCCTAGCCCAGTGTGGATCCTGCTTGATATTGCACCAAAATCCCATACTTAATGATGATAAATAACCATAGTTGCAAATAGTGGGCAGAATCCTGCCTGAAGTAGGATCTACAAAAATGGAGGCATGAGATTTGGCCAGACGAATCAGTATTCTGAGTATCATTTGATTTGATTGGTCAGAGTCATCCATTGGAAAGATGAAGCTGATCATGACCATTATGTTATCAAAGATTTGTTCAAAAACCAGTATTAGTAATGGTTTGGGCCTGTATGGATAGTCATTTATGTATCTGTTGTGACACTATCAAAGCTAATGATTTTGTTAAAATTTTGTGAAAGGAATTTCTGCCAAGGATGCATACCAGGAAGCATGTGCTTGATTTTTTCACATTTTGACAATACTCTGCCACACACAGCTGAATGGATGATGATTTGGTAGTGAGAAAACTAAATTAGGACATTACAGTGACTGGCCCACAGTTCCAACCTTAATCCAATTTGAGTGTGTGTGGTTAATTTTGAAGTGTAGTGTTGCTAGACAGTATCTGTGCCAAGGAGCAGTTGGAACACTTTCTCGTGGAAGAATGACAGAACCTTCTAACATATAGATTAACTGATAAAACTGACAGTATGCCTCAACATTTTCAAGCAGTTATTTAATGAAAGGGGAATATGCCAAAATGGTAAACAGTCAGTGGTTAAACTTTTGTGACATATGTTGGAATGTTTTATTCAGTTCTCAAATTTCTGCTTTTTTTTTTTTTAATTGACAACCTTCATTTTTTACCTAAAAATTATATCTGTACTAGCAGATGAGCCCAGCATTGCTTGGAAAAAAGTAATGATAGCGAAGATTAAGATTATTAGATTATAGTTGATCTTACCTTTTTCACCATGTGCAAGAATTGGGTCCCCCCTCTTCCAAGACTAATTAGAAAATTTTTAGATATCTGCTTACCACACTAGGATAATGATAATTAAGACTCACTGCAACCACTAACTGGTGCTTAGTACCACTAAGTGATGAATAACAAATGTTTTCGTAACCCATTCTGGGTTCTTCTTCAGGTTTACTAAATTTGAAAAATAAGTTGGATCTTCCAGAATCACTCATAAATATAAAATCAAACATTAAGACGAAGAGTTTGAATAAAGAGAATTTATGTGCATGCTCTCCCCATGTCAACTATATAAATGGCGGAACACTAAATATCGTCAAGAATTTTTAGAAAAGTCTAAAAATATGTTCAATTTCCCTCATAAATGCAAGAAAGGAATCTAAAATAGTACAGTAGAAGCTGAGTTCTTCGGGTTAAGCTTTAATCCTGTCCCTCTCCCCTGCAGGGGGACAGGATTAAGGCTTTCGAAAAATCCCTTCTTAGTGTACGTTCTCACGACATACCCTGTTTACCAAATTTCAACTTTCAACTCCTTTCATTTCAACAACTTTCAACTCCTAACCATTTTGGCTCTATGATTATTATTATCAACCCATCTTGATTATATTATAAGATTCAAAAGCTGCATCTGATTTTCATTTCCTTATTTTAATTATATCCAGAACTGGGGATAAGCATTGTAAAAAAATTTTTTTGCTAACTCCTTAATTGACTCTATATTTTGTAATTATTTTTACTTTCCTGATTATGTTACAGAATATAGCATGGTGATCTGTCAGATTTCGACCCCTACTGGTTTTTTCATTATTGACATTTTGACACTCCATGAGCCCAAAAATGTAAAAACAATCTATTAAATTCTGTTTGTATGTTGGTGTCTATTTTGCATTATATCTCAGGACTGGATGAATGTAAAATTTTGAAACTTGACAGGATTACTTTTATATATGGGACGTAAATTTTTGTAATTTTTTTTTCAATAAAGTAAAAGAACCAACATTGCATTGCAAATTAGTAAATTAGCCTAATGAATTATATATCAGTGATGACATGATGAATTATATATATATATATATATATATATACAGTTGTAAAGTACTATATTTAGTTTGTTGCTCTACAACGAATTTTTCTTAAAGAACCGGGACCTAACGGGTACTTTACGCGGGTTCGCGTTTATTAGTTGCCAGGCCTGGACTTTTAGCGTGTACCGAAATAAATTAAGGACAAAGTTAGTCACAAAAAAAATCTCAATCATAAATGTTTAATCAAGACTAACAAATACTATGTACAAGATTTATAAACAAACAACAAATTTATTAAATAAAAAATCAAATCAAAATCAACCCGACAAACTTAAGTCTTATTCTAACTTAGAACTATTCCCCTTGGAATTCCGACAAAACAAAATCCAATTCTTAACTTAGTTACAAATTCTCTTATAACTATCAATCCTAACCATCACCTCAATTAATACTCGGAACTTTTTCTTCTACTCAAGACTTTCCTATTTTCAAATCATCAAAATCGAACCTTCAATCTCCTACTAGGATTTCCTATTCGACACCTTGTTCACTGCTACCAGCAGACCAACGCTTTCAGTTCAGGAGCTCACCTCGTCTGTCTTCACTTGAGCTACTGTACTTATAGTCTGTGGTGACTTCACAGTTTCTAATTGAGACACTCCCCTCATTTACATATCTACATGTAACATTCTTGTTTTCTCTTCATTATCTGGTAGCTTATTTCTCGACAATATGTTGTTAACCTTTTACAGCATTTCTTTAACAATTATCGGGATGTTTCGTTTTAAGTTTATACAAGTCCCTAAAAAGTCTATGGGGTTGCCCCCCTTCAGTGTGGACGTACAATTCGGCCGCTCGGGCGTGCACGTGAGTGCGAGTGCTAGCTATGGCGCTGTCATTTTGTCGTCGGTGAGTTGGTTAATCTCTTATCTTCTCGTTTTGAACATTAGGGTGATGGGTGAGGAAACCTTTGTCCTAACTAAACATAAGCCCCAACCAAAAATATAATAAAAGCAAAATAAAAGTAAAATAAAAATAAAGCTCGGACTTAGTTCCTTACACAGTATATTTATTTTTATTTTTTTAGTATTAGTTACAGTAAAGTTATACATGATTTGGAATGCTCATCCCATAGTAACATAAAAAAATTAATTAATTAAAAATACTAATGAGTAACAATAAAAATATAAGTACTAAGGTGTCAGTCAACAAGCTGAAAATGTCAACTTCAGAGTCAGTTGGTAAAAAAAACGCTGACTCCCCAGCTCTGATTATATCCAATAAAATTTTCATTGTTGAACTTTATTGTTCTTGACTTTGTACATAAAAGGTCATTAGAGGAGTACAAAGTACTCTTAATTTTGATCACCTTGTTTGTTATATTTTTGTTATCATATTACAGATGTACAGTACATATCTATTTTATAATTAAGATTTCAATAAGTAAAAAATCTAAAAGAATTTTTAAACAAAATGTCTTTCTTGATATGTATTGTCCTCCATTAGGGTTATATGGGAAATCCTCATTAATTTGAAATTCAGGGGACAAAATATTCATGACTTTAAATTATCCAAGATTAACATATTTCTGTACAGTATGCCAAATGTTACATAACTGATGTAATTTATTAAGTAAATGGAATACGGCTATGTATACAGAATGCTATTTTTGTTGAATAATATATTATATAATATATTTGAATAATAATATAAATAAACTGCAGGTAAATAGTGTGTGTCTGGTAAGAACATCATAGGTTGCCAGATAGGTTTTATAAAATGTAAAGCAGAATACCTCAAAATATAGCCCAAATTATTCTTAAAGTAGCTCAAAAAGTATAGCCTAGAGTCCTATGAATATCTCAATCTGCTACCCGTAGCCCAATCTCACAATCCTGAAACCCAGCTGTATTTTATGAAATAAGAGAAAGGAGTAGTCTATATGTAAGGTGACACCTGAAAATGTGTTACTATAAAAGCAAAGCCATATTGATCAGATTAGAGTTGTTTTTGGTCTATTGTTCTCTTATAGCATGGAGACACTTTGAATGAGTTAATGTACATAACACAGTTTGGACAGAATTTTCACTTTGAATTTTGAAGTAGCCATATTTTGAACTAACCAAATTCCTTAATATGTAAATCCCTACATCCCTAGCTGGGACAATAGTACAGTTATGAACTAATGGGATTTTGAACTATCTGAGTTTGAATTAATGAGGATTTCCTGTATTTGGTTGACCAAACCATCATGTTTCAATTGTGCAGTTCAAACTGTTTGCATTGTTTTAATATAAACAGTTCAAACTGTTCAGTGATAGAAATTCATTTTAATATCAGCATTGAAATAATATCAAAATCTTTTGTAGTCAGAAGAATAACTATTAGAACTGATATTCTCAAAATATATGACCAAAGTACACTAATGCTGTTTTCACAACATAATAGTGGATGTCCAATTTTGTCTGAAAAACTCTGAAGCATCTATTCTCTCCTAGTTCATATTTTGTAAAGCTGTATTTTCTGTACTTGTGGCTCTCAAAACAATAAAACAAATCTGGATTTTACCAAAATTTTTTCTGGACAATTTCATTCATCTCATTACACTTTTTCATTTATATTTCAAAAATTCCTGTTGTTATTGTTGATTACATGTACAAACTCTTGTATTCTTTTGTTGTTTTTCCAAATAATGCAGACATCGTCCACATACCTTTTGTAAAATACAATATCCATCTTGAACCCATTGATAATGCTCTCTCCAAGTTGCATATAACTAGAACGACAAAAGAATACAAGAGTTTGTACATGTAATCAACAATAACAACAGGGATGGATTAAAACTTAAACTAGAGCAAAAAAGTAATGAACAGATACATTTTTTGGATATAGACAGCCAATTGAAAGGAGATGGTATAACAGGTATCTACATAAAACCAACACATAGTCCACTATACATTCTGGCTAACTCGAATGACCCCTACAGATACAAACTGTCCACCTTTCGAGCACTCATCAGAAGAGCGTATTCACATTGTTCTAATGTACTGGATAGGATCAAAGAACTTAATAGAATTAAAGAAACAGCTTCAAACTTGGGATATAAAAAGAGCACAATAGAAGGGCTAATTAAAAGATATGAAGGAAACAATGTAATAAGAACCCAAGCAAATCAGTTTAAAATCTTCAAGTTCACATATAATCAAAACATCAAGAACATCATGAAACAAGTATCAGACAGAAAACGCTCAAAAATGATTTTCAAAAGAGCACCTAATATATACAGTATTTTAAGAAATGATAAAGACATGATTAAAAAAGAAGAAAAAACAGCTTCTTGATAAAGCACTGAGTTCAGCATTAATACGATTTTTCTTATATCGCAAGTACTTTCGACGAGTATTATATCGTCGAAAGTACAAAAAGCGCCAAGAGTTGCACAATTAGTACGATCGCTCCTCAACACATGCGCTGCTAGTCGTGTGGATTTAAGATATTTCGAACGCCCGCAAAAGCTTGTTGCACATGACGAATGGAATTACCGAACGTTATAATTTAGAAATTGACAAGAAAAATTTCCGTTTTCTACTTGGAACACTCTGCATGTTCTAATTTTCAAATTTTCTTTTTTCGCCTGAGGATGATGATATAATACTTGTCGAAAGTACTTGCGATATAAGAAAAATCATATTAATGCTGAACTCAATGCTTTATCAAGAAGCTATACAATTTTGACATTAGTTTTATTTATTTATCTATTTCTATAAGAAAAAACAGGTGTATATAAAATTCCGTTTGAAAATTAGGAATTAAGAAGGACTATACTGGGGTCACAAGAAGGAAATTAGCTACCAGACTTAAGGATCACAAATACGATATTAACAAAGGGCACTGCAACACAGTATTATCCTGTATGGCATAAGCAGAGGACTCTGGTTAAATGGAATGAAGCAACTATCCTTAGGACTATGCATTCTTCATCATTGGATAAAAGTAAATTAAAAAATGGTTGTATTAACGCCAGGGACGCGGATGGACTACCTTCCACATGGAATTTCTACATAAAAGAAAAAAACTAAAATGCAAAAATTCTTAGCCCACACTGCCCTTATACTTGGTAGCATTTTTGTGTATTTATTTTATTTTTATTTTATTACATTATTTACATCGTTATTGTATTAGTTTGTTTAGTATATTTGTTTTATTTTATTATTTATTTGTTATTTTATCCAGTATTTTGGTTTTAAATTTAAAGTATTTTGAACATTGTGACGTTTAAATATTAAGTTAAATACGTTCGAGAATACTTGCATCTGAAAATGGCCTATCATATTAGGTCAAAAAAGGTTAAAGTTTAGGAAGTGCTTACATAGAAACTATCTATTTTATTTTATTTAAATATTTTAAGAGTATTTTAACTCCTCATTAGAATTTTCTATATAAAAACAAATGTATTAAAATGTTAAATTTCTTTCAGAATTTTCATTTTTAATATAAGAATATTTTGATTTTATCATTGTTTTTGTTTTCTATATAGGCTTCTAAAGTTTCTTTACTGCCGTGTCTTGTAAGGGGTGCTGCAGCAACCCCAATTTGACCAAAATTGTTTGTATTGACGCCTTCTACCACCCATTTCATTTTGTCAGTCTAATTTCTTAACACACTGTATAATTTAGATTTAAATAAACAAATAGTAAAGAGTTATAAGATTATTTTGTTAACTTGTAAATTAAAACAAAAATTTAATTTCAATTATTCTAACTTTTATTCATTTATATAAATTGAATTCTAATTTGTAAATTTGTGCTTTTAAGTTCTAAAGCTTTTTGCTTGCTTTTTGCTTTATATTAAGAAAAAACTTTTATAATTATGGTTGTTCTAAAATAGAAAGATTTTTATCTTCAAATTTATGGCATGGTGAATTCTGTTTGGCAACCTGTTGATTATGATTTCTATTAGAATTGTCACTTCTAAAATTGACTTTTTAAAATATGTCATTTTTGTTATAACTGTTATAGTTCATTGTAAGAAATGTTTTTGTTCAAAACACATAAATATTAAATATTCATAAACAAAAACATTTTTACATTAACTTTTTCTAGACATTTTTCTAGAATATTAAAATATTTAGACAATAAATTTTCTTATCTGAATATTTTAATATTTCAGCAAAATATCTAGAAAAAGTTTAGTTTTCCTCTATGTATTCATAAAACAAGAATAGAATCAAATTCCTTGATGTATTTATACAAATTACAAACAGTATTATTATTTTTTCTTAATACATAGCAAGAAATAATTTTTTTTAAATCTCATCTATACAAGTTGATTTAAGATTTCACATATTGCTCTTTTATAATAATGCCAAACAGTTGCTGGATTACATCAGGCTATAATAATGCTAATAATTATTAATTAAAAGTTTGGTTATATCTAAATGAATAGTTTTGAAATGAAGATTGGATGGAGATCTGGGTATTGTAACAGGCAGTGCATCTGCACAGCAAATGGGAGTTGCAGGTTTGATTCCAGCTTCAGGCTGATTCATTTCTTCCAGTACATTCTAAATTAAATATTAAATATTAATTTAATTATAATAATTAAATTTATTAAGAGATGGCAACTAACACCTACCTCTAGGCCAAATTACTTGACTTTTAATTAATAAATAGTAGCTTTATTATAGCTGAATATAATCCAGCAATCATTTGGCATTATTGGATGTTTATATTTCTTTTATAATTTTATTGAAAGTTGTATTAAATTACCATTTGATAGAAATTAAGATAAATAATAATTAAATTTTATATTAGTTATCAAGGAATAATGGAAATATAAATGAGGTATTATTATTTGGAAAATATTATTTCTGTTTTCATTCTAAATACTTTAGTATTTAGAATGAAAAAACAGTAGTTGTAAGCTATGAACAATTGAATGAAAATTGATAAGATTACTGTAAATAGAAACTTTAACATGAATGAACTTTGCATACCAAACTTAAGCCAATCAAATCTATTCTTATAACTGCTATTTTTTCTTTTTTATTCAGTAAGCTTTTTTAAGTTATTTTATAAAATATTCTTAGTTCCTTTGCTTTATTTATTCGACCTTCAAAGACTCATCTATCTATTTCAAAAATTGGCTTTTGTGCTCTTCTTTGTTTGATGAGTCTTTTATCCTGGATATCTACCACAAAGAGAATATAGATTAGTAGAGGAAGTAAAAATATCTGAACTTTTGTAAAGTTAAAGAAAAACCATGTTGAATAAGAGAATAAAAAGTGATATTGTGATCAATCAAATTCATGATCATAATTTATGGAAATTAAAAATAAAAATTATATACTATTATATACTACTACAGTGGTGCCACATACTTCTGATTTAATTCATTCCAAGAAGCCATTTGAATTCCAAATCATTCATTCAAAGTCCAAAGCAGTTTTTCCCCATTAGAAATAATGGAAAGCAAATTAATTCACTCCCAAACCTAAACGATACCCATTTCAAAAAACTTAAAATAGCAAACATATGTAATTTAAGATAAAAATAACACAATTAAATGTCCTAAATAATAAATTAAAATAAAACAATAAATAAAATATGCAAATACAGTATAACATTGTAAAATGAAAATTGCATATATTGTTTGCACACTGTTGACTTTGGCATATTAAACGTGGCTGCCAGATCCATCAAACGTACCATTTTCTTGCTTTGTGATATGTTCTGTTTTCATCTCAATCATCAACATTATGACTTTCCTCTTAGACTTCCTTCTTTCCACACACTTCTAGAATTCCATGTAATATGTAAAGTTTATATTGCTACAAACAAAATTTTTGCGTATTTTTAATAGTTGTCATTACTTAAGATAATTGTGTGATTAATTTTAATGCTTGTGAAATTTAACACATTATTGCTAATTTTAGATCATATTCTTTGTTCAACTTACATTATGCTTCCAGAACATTTTTCACTGCCTGTGCAGTTCAAACATGGAAGCATTGTTAAAACTCCAAGGGGAATTTTTGTCAAATTTAGCATTTGAAGTACGAGGTACCACTGTATTTATTCTTCTTAATAGTAATCTTATTTTCTGCTGTTTTAATTTATAAACTATTTATTTAAGTAGTTATTTAGAAAATGTTTTATTTAAATACTATAATTGAATTTTTAAAGATAGATAAAAAAAAAAATTTTGGAGCTATATTAAAATGAAGATAATTTAGAGGAAGAGGAATTAATTTAACCTAAATATTAAATGTACAGTCAGTTCAAAAAGTTTAGAATAATTTAACTCTATCACAAAGTGCCAATCTTTGAATGACAGTAACTAAATGAAATAAAAAATTATGAAAAAATTAAGAGAAATTTAGCCTGATCTTTTAGCTATATTTTCACATAAAAAATGTATTTCTAAATAAAGTATTAAAAGTCAGTTATTTACATAATGAATGATAAAGGTGAAACCATTAGAATATTTTATTTTAATGGTTTCACCTTGTTGATTATGAATTATAGATTTTATTCTTTTTGGTATACTATCAATAAGTGATTGACATTGTTCAAGACTAATTTCAGACCAAATTTTTGTAAGTTTTTCTTTTAAATCTTGTTTATTGGTTGGGTTAGATTCTTGTGTTTGTTTTTTATAAATGGACCAATCAATTGAGGATAACTCTGGTGACTTTCCAGCTCAATCCAAGATTTTTATTTTTAATAAAATAAAATTGAAGACAAACTGTCCAAAAAGGATCACCATTTATTATTTGTGTTCCAAGACTAAAACATTTTCGGCAACTGACCTTCCTTTTTAGGCTACTTATCGCCGTAAAGTTTACAAAAAGTCCTTTTAAAAAACAAAACACATCCAATTAAAATTTTTAAAAATTTCTGAAAAAGGAACTGGTGACATACAGTTGTCTTGCTTTCTTCCATCATATCTTCTTTTTGTCTTCAATTTTATTTTATTAGAAATAATTCTCTATTGGACGAACTTTTACAGATTTTTATTTTTATACATGTAAATTATTCTTTGACTTTTTTTGCATGTAAAACATTTAACTTCATCCTGTTGAAAGATTACATCATCTTGAAAATCATCTTCCATTGTTGGGATGAGGAAATATCACAATACATATCATTACTGTCTAAAAAAATCATTAAAAAAAATAATAATTTTCCAAGTCCATTTACAGTCAACTGAACCTCATACTATAACTTTAGTGGAAAATTTGATGACTCTTAAACAATATGGATTGTTGGTTTTGCATTTCAAGCATCAAACTTTTCTTTCATTATTTAAATCAACACAAAACATATTTTGTTGCTAAAAATGACTTTTGTGACAATTGCTGGATTATAATTTATACAATANAAAAATATAATAAAAGCAAAATAAAAGTAAAATAAAAATAAAGCTCGGACTTAGTTCCTTACACAGTATATTTATTTTTATTTTTTTAGTATTAGTTACAGTAAAGTTATACATGATTTGGAATGCTCATCCCATAGTAACATAAAAAAATTAATTAATTAAAAATACTAATGAGTAACAATAAAAATATAAGTACTAAGGTGTCAGTCAACAAGCTGAAAATGTCAACTTCAGAGTCAGTTGGTAAAAAAAACGCTGACTCCCCAGCTCTGATTATATCCAATAAAATTTTCATTGTTGAACTTTATTGTTCTTGACTTTGTACATAAAAGGTCATTAGAGGAGTACAAAGTACTCTTAATTTTGATCACCTTGTTTGTTATATTTTTGTTATCATATTACAGATGTACAGTACATATCTATTTTATAATTAAGATTTCAATAAGTAAAAAATCTAAAAGAATTTTTAAACAAAATGTCTTTCTTGATATGTATTGTCCTCCATTAGGGTTATATGGGAAATCCTCATTAATTTGAAATTCAGGGGACAAAATATTCATGACTTTAAATTATCCAAGATTAACATATTTCTGTACAGTATGCCAAATGTTACATAACTGATGTAATTTATTAAGTAAATGGAATACAGCTACTATTTTTGTTAATCTGAAATTTATTTTATTAATTCTTTTTATATAATTTAGTACTTTAATCATATATCTTGATTATTTAATATGATACATATTGTACAATGTCAAACAAAATTTTTAAAGTTTTCATTACTCAGTTTAATGTATTGTATGGAAAAGTTTTTCCACACATTTATTATGAAATAAGTTTTGAACAATCAATTATTTATATTCTGATAATTGTAGAGTAGATTTCATTGGATCAGTAATTTCCAAAGTGATCAATTTCCACTCCCTGAGTGTAATGGGCACTCTAAGCGGACAATAACAAGTAAGAGGCAAGTAGTTGGCAGTAGTAGCTAGAAATGGGTTTTCCAAGTGATTTTTACTTATGATTTGATCATTGACATTTATTACAGTTAATTCTTTTTCTGAAATATGTTTTTCACATTGAACAGACTTTGATTGAATAACTGCAACAGTGAATTTAAGTATCAATTCAAATACTAAGAAGCTCCCCTTGTACTTCCCATATCATATTTGATTGAACATGTTTTTAGTGCAGTCATATAATCTCTATCCATGCAAAGAAATCAGAGTAATTTAAGAATTTATAAGTAGTTTTTGACTAGGCATTGAAAAACATTTCAAGTCCATCTCTCACATTAATCATTTTCTAATAGTGAAGCAAATATTAAATTTGTTGTTCAAAATTCTTGCTAAATGATTGAGCCTTTTCAAGTTGGAATTACTGAATTTAAGTTCACTCGCTAAGTAAATAGCATTTTACAACTTTTAATTAGATATGATTAAATATGCAATTAATTGTTGTATTGAATTTGTTTTCAAAATCTGTCAAGATGTAATTTTTTTTCTGCCTTGATGAAGAGGCTGACTTTGTCTGAGCATGTTTGTTCTGCAGATCCCACAAGAAGCATTAAGTTTCATCATCAGTAATAACTGTTTAGTTATCTGAGTCTTATCAACTGTATCAATCAGTTCTCTGCTGATGAGTAAACATTCTTCAACTGCTAATCTGATAACTTTCTGAGAACAATGTAAGAATGGGTGCAATGCATTTTCAAGTTGTCATGAGGAATAACATGTACAGAGCCCTATGAAATTCCCAAAATGGTAACCACATTGTGTGTCAATTGTCTATAGTCTGATCTTTTTGTGAGGTTGGAAAATTTTTTCATTTTTTACTGAAGTTGACCCACCTGGTGTTGTTCTCTGTTGATTCATGGCCTTCTTTAAAATACTTACTTATTACATATATTATTACAAATGGCATTTCATTACCATATGCTTTTTTTAAGCAAAATGTTTTGGGAAAGTTATGTACCAAGTTTGATACAGAATTTTATATTGATTTGTTGCTCATAATGCATCATTTCAAAATTCCAATGATGCACACCTACATATTCCAATATTTTTGTTTTGTGTTCTAGTCCTTCTGAATACAGGCAAGAGAACAAGTGTTTTGAACAAGTACTGATATGTCTAAGAAAATGTTCAAACATGCATGTGCTCAAAATTACAAATGCTGCTAGGTAATGTCAAAGTTTAATTTATTTTTTACTCTATTATGTAGTATAATATGATTTTATGAATTAATAATTGAATTTCTCTCTCAATTATTGCTTCATGATAGCTCAATTATTGCTTTTTTGCTGATATGATAGGTCCACAGACATGCACTTTATCTGATGTTTATTGTTTAAATGTATGAAAAAAGATCAAATGATATTGTCAGAATTGATAATGTCTAAAAATTTTGAAATATCAATATTTACCATTTATTAAAATTATCAATGTTCCAAAATGTTTAAATATTTAAGCACAACGATTTTCGAATATCAGAATTTAAAACCTGAGGAAGACTGAGAAAGCAGTCGAAAACGTTAGTTGTTTTCATTAAATATATTTTTACTGGTCAAGTAAAGGTTTTTATGTGTGTTTATATTAAGCAATATTTACATTTTGGCATCAGACATTTCTCTGTGATAATGAATTTTTTGGATAATTTACTTGTATTGTGTTTGATAACTTTGTTACGTATTGCCATTTTTGTCATAAGTATTTTATCAATTTTGAAATTAATGCTTGAATAAGTTATAAATGTACACCCTATCAGTGAGTTTAAAAATACTCTCATCTGTAATATTGATAAATATGATAAACAGAAAAGAATGGAAAAAAATAAAACAGGAACACCATTTGATTTTACTCTCAACTTAATTGAATTTTTTATAAAGTTTATTGATTAAAAAATCAGTTAGCTATTTTTAAAAAGTAGTAATAATAATAAAATATAAAATATTAAATTGGGTATCTGTCAAAACTTTGTTATGTAGTAATTATTATAACAATGTGCACTGACTGTTTCCTATATCTAAATATATAAAATTACTTGTCCTGACTGATTCATCATCTGCTGAACCTAAAGAGGTGAAATTTGGTACACAGTTAGGGTATGTCATGGAAACACGCACTAAGAAGAGATTTTTTGAAATCCCTTGTGGAGGGGAGAGAGAGAGCATTAAGGCTTAACCGGAAGAACGGCTTCTACTGAACTATTTTAGATGCGATTTTTTGTTTTCAACTACGTTTAGTCTTCATTAAGTACTTAGTTTTACTAAATTGATAACGTTTCAGACATTGTTATAAATATTTTTATATATTTTGATTTTTTAACCAAATGTTCGAACCGTTTTAAATTCGAATTTGTTATTGCATATTGGTTCGATTATAGAATGATTGTAAACATTCCAGAAAATTGATCAGATTGAAAACAGTTCGTTTGATTCTCAGCAATTCTCATCATTCTCAGCAGTAGGTCTTATATCACAATTACTATGGTTGTTGAAATACTGAATATAAATGAGGTTTGCTTGCAAAACCACCGCAGGCAAAGTCGCGGGTAACAGCTAGTATAAATATATACAGGATGATTCATAACTCATGGGACAACCTTTAAGGGGTGGTAGAGTACAAGACAAAAAGACATTTTTTGTATAGTGTGTAGATATTTTTTGTATTTGACATTTTTTTGACATGTTGAGGTGCAAACACAAGAAATAATAAAATTAAAGGAAACATAAATTGTTTTCTTACAGCATTGTTGACAAGTGCATCTTTACAGCAATGTTTACAATAATTGTTCAAAATTGCATACAGTAACAGTAATACACGCTTGGCGGGTCGATGGAGTGATTGGCATACAGTTTCAAAGATGCCAGTATATCTCGCACATGTGTAACCACAATGGATATTTGAGCAACAAGGTCCTCAACAGAGTCAACTGGATTCTCATAAATGAGGGCCTTCAGATGTTCCCATAAGAAGTAATTGAGGCTTGATAAATCAGGTAACTGGAGTGGCCAACAGACTGATCCACCACAGCCAATCCATTGTGCTGAAACCACAGTTGATTACAAATGAAAATTGGAACATCTTGAAGCAATTCTGGTAAAATGTTTTCCAGAAAAATATGATAACATCTGCCATCAAGTTGCCTTGGTAGTAGATATGGACCAAGCAGAAAGTTGTTCACAATGTCTACCCATGCATTCACAGAGAATCATTCTTGGAACACACATGGATATGTAAAGTGTGGGTTTGAGGTTGCCCGCACGACAATTGTGCACATTGAAAATACCTTTTTGTTAAAAATCACCTTATCTGTGAATAGTACATGAGCTGGGAAGTCTGACTGCAATGCACACTGCTGCAAAAACCACTGGCAGAATCCCATGTGCAGAGGATAATCTTCTGTTTCAAAGTTTGAGTTCTCTGGAAATGGAATGGGTATAATTGTTCTTTAACATGCTCCAAACGGTGTGTTGATTCACACCTGTGATGTGCAGTTCTTGTACTTGTGTCAGGTCTGTGTTCCACAAGGTTTAAGATGAATTCATCTGCATGTGGGCATCGTACAGCTTGCAGTCAACCCAATTCTTGCCTTTTGAAGCAGAAGGAACCAGTTTCACAAAGTTTCTGGTGTAAACACTCAAACATTTTGTGGTCTGGCATTTGTCTATTCAGAAAGCGTTCCTGATACATCCATAGTGCTGCTCTGCCACTATCATTTGCAGCCCCCTACATTAGATGCTTGTCTGCCTTCTCAGCATTTGTAATATCTCCCATCATGGGTTATGGCACAGTCACAAATGGCATGTTCCTGCAGATGTATAATGTTGAAGGGCAGCAAGCCACCTCCTGCCCTCTACCAGCAACAGTACACTCAAATCACTTCACTGATGCTGTTGAGTGTGTATTACTGTTGATGGACACAATTTTGAGCAATAATTGTAAACATTACTGTAAACATACACTTGTTAATGATGCTGTAATTAAACAATTTGTTTCCTTTCATGTGTTTTCTTGTGTTTGTGCTTTAATGCATGACTTGAGCCCATACTTTCCTGTGCAAAAAATGTTTTTTTTTTTTTTTTTTTTGGTCTTGTGTTCTATCACCCCTTTTAAAGTTTGTCCCACGAGTTCTGAATCATCCTGTATATAACTGAATACAAATTTTAAATCAAATAATCTATATAATCACTTCAACAGAATTTTAATAAATAAAAATGTACACAATTTTGTTTTAATATAAAGATTTTATAGAAATTTAAGAACTTTAGTTACAAAATTTTATTACATCTACCTAAATTAATATACTATAGTATTTCCCAAAATAAGAATGGAACCAACGTACTATGTACAGTACATCATTCTGTCACTATAGCCAAACAATGAAACTACAGGTATCCCTTGCTTAATACAAGATTTGATTAATGTGCAAAATTAATTGCAGCAATCCCTTCATATACTTGGCAGAGGTTTTAATTAACGTTGTAAGGAACCAAGTCTGAGCTTTATTTTTATTTTACTTTTATTTTGCTTTCATTATATTTTGTTTGGGGCTTATGTTTAGTTAAGACGAAGATTTCCTCACCATTCACCTTAGTAACTTAAAAATAGAAGAAAAACCAACTCACCGACGAAAGAAAAGCGCCGTAGAAAAACTCGCGCACACTTGCGCTTCCCAAGCGGAAAAAGTAAGTCCGCACCGAGAAAAAGGGGGGGAAGACCCCACAACCCAGTTAGGAATCGCTAAACCTTAAAATAATAAAGCATCCCGATAATTGTTAAAAAGANATATATATATATATATATATATATATATTCTGCAGATTCTGCAATAAAATAAATAAATATGTATATATTAGGTTGTTTGGAAAGTAATTTCATTTTTTTCATGGAGGAAAAAACAATTTTCTTATAATATATAAATATTTTATTGAATTATATATTGATCATTTTGGTCCAATATCTTTTTGCCATCTTTCTGGTAGTAGCATGATTACATGCTCATAAAAGTTCTGATCTTTGCTTACAAAAAACTGATCCAAGTGATTTTTGACATCCTCATTTGAAGTAAATGTTTTATCATTTAAAAAATTTGTAAAGACCAGAACAAGTATAACCAAGGATGCCAGATCTGGTGAATATGGTAGTACATCCCACCCAAGCTGTAACAGCTTCTGACAAGTTACCAAGCTTGTGTGTGGTCCAGCATTATCATAGTGAAACACTACACTTTTCTGTTTGATGATGATATTCAATTTGTTCAGTTGATTTCTGAATCAATTGTGGAGTTGTCTGGTAGAAGCTAAAAAAAAAAAACAATTGTCCAACCAAACAGAGCATCACTTTTTTTTATAAATATTGGTTTTCGAAGTGGTTTGAGCCAGTTCATCTCTTCTATCCCATGATCACTTGCATTCGACATTGTTCTAAACAATCCATTTTTCGTTGCCAGTTAAAATTCGCTTGAAAAATGGATCATTTTCTTGATGTTTGAGAAACAAATCACAGATATCAATGCAATGGAACAAATCTCTTTCTTTAAGAACATGTGGAACCCATAACCACTTGAAACAAAACCAAGTTATTTCAAGTGGTTATAAACAGTTGAATTTGACAAATTTAATCTCTTAGCAATTTCTTGTTGTTATTTGGCAGTTTGCTTCAATCAATATCTTTATTTTGTCTTCATCAGCTTCAACTGGCCTTCCAGAAAGTGGTGCATCTTCAATATTGAAACTGCTGAAACGAAATTTTGCAAACCAGTTTTGGCATTGTCATTCTGTCAACACATCTTCTCCATACACATCACACAGGTTGCTTGAACACCATTCTTATCTTTTTGGTAATAAGTAAAATATGCCAAAAATTCTGCTTTTGATTTTCCATGTTTGATGGGACACCAAAAAAACCAGTTGCAAAGAATCAAACAAAATTTTTTTTCAAATAAGCCTTGAAATGTCAGCTGTCAAAATATACAATTTAGAATGAAATTGGCAGGTAAAAATACAACTGGTGGTAAAAAATGAAATTACTTTCTGAACATCCAATAGTTTAATTAGGATAGTTATGAAATTTAATACATTACTGCTAATGTGATATTGTATTCTTTGTTTATAAGCTATTTTAAAACTTCACATTTTGTTTGTGCAAACTCAAATCAAAATATCTGCAGATAAAATGCATATTGTGCATATTATGTATGCTTTTTAAGTTTTGTAAAAAATATAACACTATACAAACAGTAAAAAATACTCTTAATATAATGAGAAGGTGCTCCTAAATCTCAGACATGTCAAATGTGGTTTGAAAGTTTTGTTCAGAAAATTTTGAACTAAAGGATACAAACATATGGGACTCCCAAAAGCTGTTGCAAACAGAAATTTCAGGAAGAAATTGTTAAAAATTGACGAACTCATAAACTTGAACAAATCTTATTGTGTCACTGACATGATTACTGTGTTCCATGTACATTAAGTGAACAAACTGCATCAAATATAATTTTGTCTGATGAAGGTAGGCTGGCTGGTGGTTCTAAGGTTTACTTTTTACAATTACTTTTTAAATTAGTTACTCATTTTTATCATAGAAAACTTTTCTTGCAGATGACAAAATCAAAATAAAAATATTTATTAACCAAAAATTTGTTCTAGAGAGTCATGATTGTTTGGTCGAGTACTGTGGTACGAATGTACAGTACAGTATTTGATTAACTTAATTTCAATATAAACTATAGCATTGAGGGATTAATTAATTATGCTAATCAAGGGATACCTGTATTTTAAGCAACAAAGTAAAAATTTTGAAAATTCAAACATTACTTTGTATGTCATTTGTATGACTTTGTTTTATAATCCAAAATTTCTTGTAAAAATATCAGAAATTTCATATAGAAAATTGTTTAAACATTTATAATGTACAGTACTTCCTAATATATGTTCTACATATGCTCCATTCTTTTTCTGGGAAAGAATATAACTATAAAATCATATAATAATTTCTAATGAATTGAATACTAATACTAAATAAATTTTTTTATGAAGGGTATGAATATAATAGAAGAATTGTCTCCTACTGGTTTTGTATCATATCTTAAAAAATATGGCAATACTATATGTGGTCGCCATCCAATTGGAGTTTTGTTAAATGTAAGTGTGACCGAATTATATTAAATTTTATATATATGTTCAATGTAATTTCAGCACATTGAAATTATTTTGTTGAATAGGCTGTTTATACAATACAAAAAACGGGAAATGGACACAAGATGTCATTAAAGTTCCTGAATTATGCTCAGTCCAGCCAGTGCCTATCTATGAGTGACTCATCTGTAAGCTATGCTGCTGCATCTCTGAGGCTTGACTGATGATATTGAAGTATAACATCTGTTTGTAATCAATACCGACTGTGCATTTTAGAGGTTGAATTCTACTGTCTTAATATGAAATGAGATGGAACATTTTCAAAATATTCAATTAATACTTGTGAAGTTTTAATGGTAATTAATTATTAACCATTAAAACTGGTTTAAAATGATGGCAGAAATAAATTTGTATACACTGGATAATGCTGTTTTAATCCAGAAATGTCATGTTATATATGAATGCCTGTTCTGAGCAATATGCACTTTTGAAAATAGAATAAGGAGGTGTCTTGCCTTCTCATCTCCAGCCATCCAGTATTTCTAATGTATTATTTTTGCTGCCTTATAGCAGTAGAAGAAAACTTTTCTTTTTTATTAGGGGGAAAATAGAAAAGACTGCATAAATGGAAAAAAATTGCAAACTTTTTCATATAGGAATCTGTGGCCTTTATTAAAATTCTCCTTTGATATATTTCAATTAGATATGTAACCCTTTGATGCAGTTGAAAATAGTTAAATTTATGCATTTTGAATTTAAAATCCAAAGTTATGCTTCCCTAACAGCAGAAGAAAATAAAACAAATTTAATTTGTTGTGTAGTTAGTATTTCTATATTCTATCTATGAATTGGTTAAACAAGCATTTTAAACATTTTTAATTAATATTTTATTAAGCAAACTTACATAATTGATTGTATTTTACAAACATTCATAGTTTGTCAGAGCAAGCATCATTAGTTTAATACAGTTTGATGCCAAAAATATAACAAACAATACTATGAATTATATTTTTTTATGAAATACTTTTTTTATACATGAAAAAAAAATTTCTTTCAACTTTAATAAATTTTTTATATATCACAGCATTTCCTATGACATTCTCAAGATTTGATTAGTTTTGTACATATCATCCTGATGATGACAAATCCACTTCTGCTAATTTATCAAACATACCCTTATAACATTCTCTTTCTTTCTGTTTATACCGTTGAAGATGTTCTTCAGATAATTTTATGTATTGTTCAATATTACTATCTGAAAAAGAAAACAACTTGAAAATTTGCACAACTAAAATCAATTACTCAAACAAGATTTGTGATTTAGATTAAATGAACATCTAATATCCAAGATATTAGAAATGCATTTTGAAAGAAATTTGTTTTTTAATTTGAAATATCAAATAAGACATTTATTTAGTAATAAAATATGAATGAAAGAGTAGGTTGTGGTGAAAAGATGTTTTCAATTCAACTTTTTTGATGATAAAATTTGTTTTGTTTAAAAATGTTTTATTGTGATCTTTCATTCTGTAAAAAGTATTATTTTATTAAACACAAATATAAAAACTTACAAACAATACTAATAATTTTTGTTTTATAATAATGGTTTGATCTTATAGCAGCTAAAAATTTTTTATTAAGCTGCATTATCATCACCTGTTTTGGTTAATTTATGTCTTAAAATTTTATATAAAATTAAGTAATTTTCAATAAAAATCATGTATTATTATTTTAAATGGTCTTTCAAAATTAAGATAATGTATTGCTGTTTTAAATATCAAGCTCTTTCATTCCATTTGTCTTGATAAAAAAACATCATTATTACATTTTAATTTTAAAGTAAAATTAAGAATTCATCTATTATTTAAAAAAATGTAACCTTTTGTATTTAAGTACTGTTTTGCATTCTGAAGAGTTTCCAGGCATTGGTCGTAATCTCTCAGGTTGTAGTAAGAAACTCCTTTCCTGTAGAGTGCTTTAACATTATTTGGTTTTATTGTGATAACTTCATTGCAATACTGGATAACTTTTTCATATTTAACATTTCTTTGATGAAGTAAACTTGCTAAACAAAATATTATTTTTAAGCAGACTGTACTTTAGTTAAAACTTTTTTGTCTATGGAAAGAATCAACTTGTGTATTAACCAATGAGCATCAACCATTGCTCACTTAGTTGTGGCAAGTCACTTCTGGTTTCTTCTTCATTTGTTAAACATGTCATCACGATTATAAACAGTTTTATGGGAGATTCGTATTGGAATAGGAGGAAGTTTGCTATATAGTTGTTAAATGCATGATTCTTTATAGTTAATATATACTATAAAAAAATTAACACAATTAATGGAAAAGTCGTACTACCATCTAGTGAGAGAAAATAAAATTCATTCACATATTGCTTGACATATTAAGCAAAAAGTGCTGACATCATTAGGGAATGTGCTGATTGGTTTAACTGAAGCAACATCATGCTTGATGTTGCTCTCAAGTTGATTCTTTTGATAGACAGACTATGTCTATATTAAGAATTAGTATAAAGAAAATTCAAAAAATTAATATTAAACATTCAAAAAAATTTTGAAAAGGTCTTAAGATAATATAAGGTCATGGTGGCAACTGAAATTAGAAAAAAAAAAAACTTGAAATTATCAAGAAATTTTATATGTTCAGATATGTTTCAATAGAAGGAAGTTTCTCTGACAAAAATTTTACTTTTTTTTTTTTTTAATGCAAGCAATTTTAGAAGATATTTTGTACCTGCTATATGGGGAATAAGTTGTATATAATTTTAGCTGACATACAGTAGTTAATAATAGTTGATTATCACCTTGTCAGAAAGTAATTGTTTTAAAAATATGGTGTTCAGCAATCTTTCTACAGATGTCATTTATAGTTAATTGATAAAATGGAAAGTTTAAGTTTAAATTAAAATTTATTTTTAAGTAACTGCAATATAATTTTTTTGTTTTTTAATGGCTTGCTTACTGTGATATAAACAATTTGTTAAAAGTATATTGATGGTGATCTCATTTTTTAGTCAGATGGTGATAAGCAATGTCTATTTCCATAAAAATTGGTTTAAAACTGATCTTAAGTTTTTATTAAAAGTTCAAGCATGATTCTTAGTCCTTTATAAACTGGCCTTACAAATAATAAACAAACTTGACACCAATATATGAATTCACACACACTGATTTGATGTTAAATGCCATGTAAGAAAAATCTAATTTTATTCCCTTTTGTTAAGATTTCCCCATTTCAGTTACAAAAACTTAATTGCCAAATATTATATGTTGATTATTTTAGATGAATTGAAAATACAAATCAGTTTTAAGATGGTTAATTTGAATATTTCTTAATAGTCTAAAAAAATAATGTTTTTTAAATTTGCATTTTATTGTGAAATTTATATAAAGTATTTCAGCATTGAATTATATTAATAAACACTTTTAGATGCAGTAAACAAAAATTGTTTTGTTTCATTGCTTTCTTGAAATTCTTTGAATCAAAAAATTCAATTGCAATATTTCCACTTTAAATGATTAATATTAGTTTTTAAGAAAATTGCACCAATAATTGTTGAAATTTTTTGAGAAATAATAATTATTATTGTAATATTTCAATTTATAGAAAATATCATTTTAAAATAGAGTATGATTTTTCTAAATTTAGAATGTTGTTCAAAAACTTCAGCTAAATTTTATTATGTATTTTAAACTTTCCACAAAGAATGAAAGTAATGTGTAACCCCAATTTAAGGATGAATTTTGTTTGTTAAAATCCCTTCATCCTACATGCACTTTTCTACTTGTTATAGTCACAAATTTGTATCTTGTTCTAACATAATCCAGTCACTCTTATCCACATTCCTATAATAATAATAATAATAAACTAACTCTCCCGTGGTCGCCACCTGGTCGTGGTGGGAGAGCCCAGTAATTTTACTGATCCATAGGGCAATGCAGGCTGGAGCACAAGCTCCTGGTAGGGACACCCATGCCAGTAAGGTCTATGGGGAGAAATGAAGCTAAGAGTGACCACACACCCACATTCTGTGGAGATAATCATTATGGTAGTAACCAGATCTAAGTATGATACCGGCTCGGACGTCGCCCGGGTTAACAAGGTCCGCGTTCGTGGGTTAGGCAGAGGCTCACGTTCGAAAAATAGGCTCCAGTCTCCCTTGGTTACCGGTGGCGAAAGCAGCGCCGGCCCAAGCATGGCTACTGCAATGCCCTCAACAGATGTGAGGAATCAACCTAGCCTTGGTGTTTCTGTGGCAATGCATCCACAGACCACAAAGGCTGGAAAACCACGCCAACGGATGAAATGGACAACAGAAATGAACGAGTTTATCATCCGCACTTACTACACCATCACAAGACTCGAAACAAACATGACAGCATACAGACAACAACTACACCACATATTCACACAACAATATCCTCACCTCACTGTCACCGAACAAAGGGTTGTTGATCAAAAACGAACAATTATACACAACAACCTTATCCCACAAACAACACTTGAACTTATCAAACAACAGGTTGCTGATCAAATACATCAACAGACAGAAACATTTAACATTAATGAAGATCACGTAACCTGTCAGGATAATCCAGCAACAAGCACTGATTACAGCACACACACAACAAGTACCACTAATGATACTGCAGGCACTTCCCCATCCATCACTGATAACGTAGACATAGAATTAGTTAATACGCTCTCACTTATATTTCAGGAAACACTCACTAAATATACAGGCACAGATCTCACACAAAGACCGCGAATACCAAAAATTAACACGTCAATGGCAGTAGGAAAAACACTAGATTATGTAAACACTCACTACCAAACTACATTCATTCAATTTCTACATTTACAGACATTCATACATTAGTTTATGCCGGGGCAGTCACAGTAGTAACACCATGGACTGAAAATACACTCACAGACAGACAGACACAAAACACAATTCTATCATAAGCCTGCCTGACAGAGACGAATAGAAACACAAATAAATGACATTAGACAGCAATTAGGCAGGCTGACACAATACACTAAAAACAACATAACACCCAAATTAAAGAAACAACTCAAAAACATTTTCAAGAAAATCAAAACACACACAAAACACGAACATCACAACACACACATTACAGAATACGTTGATACACTAAAACAAAAACTCGCAGCCAAAGCATGTAGACTCAAACGATACAAAACATGTACACTACGAAAACAACAAAATAAATTATTCACAAACAATGAAAAACTTTTCTACAGACAAATCAGTACCAAAACAAACACTGATACACAGCACAGTGGCACACCAACAGAAGAAGAACTCACAACTTATTGGTCTTCTCTTTGGTCCAATGCTGTTACACACAATGCTGATGCAGGCTGGATCAAGGAGGAGAACAGAAACTTGCATAACATACCAACTATGCCCTGTGCTGAAATAAACATACACGACATTCGCTACGCTGTTAACAGAACACACAACTGGAAGACACCTGGTGTAGACAACATTCACAATTTCTGGTACAAAAAGTTTACATCACTGCACCAGGAACTAGCTAAACATCTAACACACATCATCATCAATCCACAAGACATGCCAAAATTTCTTACTCAGGGCATCACCTACATGAAACCTAAAAACAACAAAACCACAGACCCCACACAATACAGACCAATTACATGTCTTCCAACACTCTACAAATTATTGACATCCTGTATCACAAACAAAATATACAAACATGTTGAAGAACACGACATTCTTACAGAACAACAAAAAGGTTGCCGTAGAAATCACAGGGGATGCAAAGAACAGTTACTCATAGATTCAGTCATTCTACGGCAAGCACACAAACAACACAGAAACATACACATGGCATATATAGACTACAGAAAAGCATTCGACAGTGTTCCACACAGTTGGCTGCTACATATTCTACACATGTACAAAATACATCCATCACTCATTGCATTCTTCGAAAACACTATGCAGCACTGGAGAACAACACTACATCTCAGGGTTAGTAACACTTCCATACAAACAAACGAAATATTCATTAGGCGAGGAATTTTTCAAGGAGATTCCTTGAGTCCTCTCTGGTTCTGCCTAGCCCTGAATCCATTATCCAACATGTTAAACAACACGCAATACGGCTACAATATCAGACACGAAAAAACAACACAGTTTACACTCTCACATCTCATGTACATGGACGACATAAAACTTTATGCATCCACACAAAAACAACTTCATCAACTCCTACAAATCACACATTCATACACTAAGGACATACAAATGGAGTTTGGCCTAGACAAATGCAAAAAACTTCACATAGAAAAAGGAATCCTGAAGAAAGAAGATTTTGCACTTGGAAATGGAGACGTTATTGAATCCATGGAAGAGGGCGAGTTCTACAAGTACTTAGGATTCCAACAGGCCAAACTAACAGAACATACACAAATAAAGCAACGATTAATTAAAGAATACCAAAGTAGGTTAAACGCTATACTTAGAACACAGTTAAATGCAAAACACACAGTTAAAGCAATAAACACATATGTCATCCCAGTACTCACATACTCTTTTGGAGTTATACATTGGACTCACACAGATCTCGAGCAACTCCAAAGGAAAACAAGAACAACACTTACTAAGCATAAACAACATCATCCTAAATCCGCCACAGAAAGATTAACCCTTCCACGTAAAGAAGGCGGACGTGGCCTGATTGACATAGTTAACCTTCACTACAAACAAATACAGTCACTGCGAGAGTTTTTCTACAAGAAACAAGAAACATCACAGTTACATAAAGCAGTAACTCTAGCAGACTCAAATAACACACCATTAAACTTACACTCACATCATACAGACATGACACAACACATAAAAAGCATAGACACCATCAAGCAATCGTGGGCTCGAAAGGCACTCCATGGCAGGCATCCTTATGACCTGGCCCAGGATTTTGTTGACAAAACTGCGTCAAACAGCTGGTTAGATCGGGGATGCCTCTTTGGGGAGACGGAAGGATTCATG